GATTTCGCTAACTGAGAGCACACAGTGTCCGTGGTGGGGACCATTGAGACACGAGTTCGAAAGATTGACAGACCGGTTCGTCAGATATGCTGTGCCCCCGTTGCGGCCAAAGAGATCGTACGAGCTGATCAGTCGAGCCGCCATCCGTTTAAAGAGTCAGTTGGGAGTAGCCCCAAGAAGCAAAATGACCTCACAATGTTCTTCACGGAATCCAACAGAGCATCTTATAACTGCAATGTCTGCTATTCGATAGCAAAGAAATATCACCCTGCAGACGAGACAAAGCGATGCTAACTGGACTTGGTTGCAACCTGTCTCGCCAAGCGCCGCGACTGCTCTGAGGCTAATCCAATCACGCTAGCATACGCAAGTGTAAAGACACTAATGTGACCCCGGTTGAACTGTTATTTACTGACACGCAGGAGGGAAAAATTTGTATGCTGAAGCTCAGACTCAAAAAGCGGACCCAGGCCACATGGTACCTAATTCGGGGTCGTACTACGGACACTCCGTAAAACGGAGAAACGAGTTTCAACAAAATTCCGTAATAATTAGGAACCGTTTTACATGTGCGAATACTATAAATTGGTATCCTAGCTTCTTTCATAATTTCGTCAAAATGTGGTCATCGTTGTCCCGGCGGTAGCATCATGCATAGGGATTACTTCATGGAGAGCGCTGTTCGCAAAATGAACAAATATCATAACCAGAAAACGCTAGATTTGCCCAAATTTTGTCAGAGACAACAGTGCTGAGCATTAACAGAAAAAGAACGAATCACGGAGCCATGTACGTGTTTTTCACCCCTTATTTCACAACGGCGTTGTTTTAAACTAAAGCCAATTTTTCAACTATTGATGGGTATTCGGACCAAGTTTCTGTCGCAGAATTTCTAGCAAAGAACTTCTGTCAACCAATTCCTGAAAATATCAAACAGTGACGTTTTTCACGCGTTATGGAATACCTCTTCGCGAGTAGATATATGACGCAGCTTCACCACTCCTTTCTGTAACTCGCTTTCACCAATAATCAAGGCGTATGGAATGCCTCGATCCTCACAATATTGTAGTTGATCTAACAACCTTGGATTCGCCTTATATGAGATTTCGGCCTAAAGTAGTAAAAATAAATACCTTTACAAACAGAATAAATCATAGCGTAAGTAGTGATACTTTGATGCCTTTACGTTCATTACCATTAAACTAATTTAAATTTTCGTCAATGTGAACAATCAAAGGATTTCAAAGGGTGAGGCTATCCCGGAGAAACCTAAGGAAAGTAATGTAATAAACATGCCAGTTAAAATTTTAGTGTTTTTTATTCAAAAGTTAACTTTTCTTTTAAATATTATATTTCTGTATAACGTTTCTTACTATCTTTATATCGAACTTGTCACATAAAGCAGTTGACTTTTACTAGCAGGATGTAGCATTAAAAAAACGAATTTCACTTTAGAATGATCATAAGACACACCAAGACGGTTGAGACAATCTACCACGCTAAAAGTTACTTAAAGTGATCAAACTGAATGGCATGCCCAAATGGCCATCATTTTTGAAATATAGGCCATTTCTAGACAAGCTTGCAGTCTAGTGCACCTAGCCGGCAAGCGTGTGAACCTGTTTAAAATAGAAAGCCTAAATCTTTTCGTTCACTTGCCTGTAGTGCACTGCAGATAAATGGGACAGCAGTGGAACAAGCGAAGTTCACGTACCTCAGGGTCGTGTTCACTGTTGATAAAAAAAATGGGAGGAAGAGATCAACAGATCAATTAAAATGGCCAGGGTCTTTCTCCATGAACTATCACCAACCGCTGTGGCTAAGGCAGGGCTGAGTCTGAAAAAGAAGCTGTCTGTGTGCAAGTCGAATTGCACCTCCAAGTTCACGTGTGGTGATGAATTGTGGCCACAGCCTTGATATCAAGTACAACCAAATGAAATGGATCAATCGATAAATCGAGATAAATCGCTTAGCTGACGCGCCTAGGCGTAGTCCGGAGTACAGATATATAAGAGAACTTTCATGTACAACTGCTGCCACTGGAGACTGATATGTCATAGCGGCGAAGGTTTGGGCACCTTTGTGAATGCTTCCGGAAAGAAGGGCGCAGCAGCGACTGATCAGTCGAACTCCTGAAAAGGCCAAGAATGATCTGGAACAAGTGATTTGACGGAATATCCTGAAGAGTCGGATAAATGGTGTTATTAGGGGGCAGCGGCGCAACTGGCTAGTAGATGGTTTTGCACCATAGAGAAGCCGGATACAAATGCAATGCACAGCATGTATTTTCTCGTATTAGCTGCTAATTGTGCCGAGCTAGAAATTAACGCAATTTTGTTTCAGAGTATAGCAGGTGTAAGGTTCGAAAGTGTAGCAAGTTGTTGGTTGGCCTAGAAAACATAGGGACAGCATGGTGCTTTGATGTGGTCGTGCAAATACGCGCGAGACCCACGGTCATGCTGTTTGATGAATGCTCTTTAAGACTGCCATCCGCCTTCTATTACCTGCTAGCTGACTAAAAATCAGCCAAAGGTGTAAACAGGAAATTACGATAAATTTAAAAATCATGTTCTGCAGTAGCTCATATACTAGCACGGAATCAGAATTGGTGGAGATACTGTCTGACGCTACTGTTGCGGCGACCTAAAAGGATAAATAGTGATAGAAACTGACTTATGGAAATTTAAGAACAGTGAAAATAAGTTACGGTATTCATCAAATCGTAAAAATGAGAGGGGTGCATACACATTGTGTATAAAGTTTTCACTAATAACAGAAGAAGTGTATCTGTTATATAAGCTGGGGCGCAATCACAAAATTGATAGGCAAAATCGGATCTAACATTATTATGCGAACATGATTTATTGTTCAGACAGCTTAAAAAAGTTTGGACTAAACGTGATAAGCCAATTGAAAAATTGGCAATGTTTGCTTGTTTTACATAAACTCCTTCAAGCTGACAATTGCACTCAGTCCAACCCTGATGATGCTATAGTCTGTACAGAGAAAGAGAAACGTGTGGCATGAAACTATTTACCATCTGGTGCATTCGGTGCCATGAAACATGAATCATTCAAAAAACTATGTATGTAACTATTGACCCAGAATCAGAAACCTGAAGAATTATCTGCTGTATTCACTTCTGCTTGGTCGCATCCGCTCTCTGTGATTCTACAGATGAACAACATCTATGCTGCGTTCAATGTCGGGTGCAAAAGAAAATCGTACCTAATTTTAATGGATCGAAACATGGAACTGGAGACCTTCGGAAGACGATTCCCCAGGAACTGAATTGCTAAGAACTTCAATATTAACTCATAGTTTTATAGTTCATGGTATATGAGTTGCCACCTACAACTTATGATATGGGTAATAACTTTCAAAATCTGCATAACAAAAGTTTGTCACAGATCATCATAATATAATTAACGACGAATGATTAACATAAAATACCTTGTATTTGGCGTCCCAGAGCTCGCGACACAATCTCAGTCGCTCTTTGAGAAGATTTTTCTGTGCAGACGCCACAAAGAAGTCGGTTTCACAGCTTCTGATTTTACGGTTTTCAGCCTAAATTATGATAACCATTAATCTATGCTAATCAACATACAATCCAGTTTTACATCTTGTCCGCAGCGAATAGCAGGTTTGAAGCCACAATGCCCAAGAAAGAAAAGAAACAGTAAAACCTCCGCAACTGTATAAACCTCCTACCCTGAAGAAGACGTCGATATCGGACAATTTATCGAATTACATTTTGCAGTGTTTTATGTTGTTTTTTAATATGACCAGAAACTCAAGAACGAAATACTCTATCTTTAATGCTTCCTACTGGATATCGCTCACTGAAGACGGCGAGTACGGTTTGAAAAGTTTGAGGTTCTGTATATGTTGTTATGTGATACTATCGGTACCATACATCACATATACATCGTATATCATGTAAAAGAATTTAGCAATTTTAAGCGATATTGCAACAGACGATTCAACTTTCATTTTAAAATTTTTTTCTCCATTATATTATATTAACAGTACCTCAGCTCTTTGCAACATGACGGCAAAAATGCGTTCGATGCCAATACTGACACCGATACACGGCACCTGCTTGTGTTTTGGACTCAACGAACCGACAAGCTTGTCGTACCTTCCGCCGCCGGCGATAGAACCGACTGACGTGGATTCTCCTGGAACTTCGCCGTTGCAGATTTGTGGCCGGTTGTCTGAGTCTAAGCTGCATTAGACCGATAGCAACAAAATACGACATACCCAAAAGAACAGCTTCGTAAATGCAACCGGTATAATAGTCGATTCCGCGAGCTAAGCTGGGGTCAAAGACAACCTGAAAGCAACATCATGAATCAGACGTCAAGTAATTTCGATCTAGTACAATCAGGCAAATTACCTTTTTCGATATCCCAAATATATCACAGTAAGAAAACAACAAGTGTACATCCTTGAGACCATCAACAACATCGCTGTTTTTCTGCAACGCTTCGTCAGTTTGAAAACGCTCCAGCAACTGTGTCGAAGAGTCCAGTGCTGAAAATGCAAAGACAGTGGTCAGTAAATTTTAACTGTTGATTTGATGTCGATCGAAATCAGCGTGCTGCAGTACAATCGAAATCTGCAAGGTCAGGTATAAGCAGGTTAGTTACACCACAATCTGGATAAAGAATGTCAACACTGCACATTAAAAATTAGAAGTCGAACTCAAAACAGTAATTCAAAGGACAGAGAGAAACCTCTGAAGTTTGCCCCTATTCAACGGCCCCTTTATTCTGTCAAACACATTCCGCATTTTTAGACGGCGAAAAAAATACCATCAAAAAATCAACAGACAGAAAGCAAATTCTGATCTGTCGTTCAATAGTTACCTAAGGAGGCACTCTAATTTCGTGGCCGCATGCTTCTTTAAAATATTTCTGACAACAACAGATAAAACTCATAGAAAAAAAATAAGCTCTGAAATGCATATAATCGATAACCACATCACCCCTTAACCTAAATCACAACCGCATCGGCAGGCGGGTTCGCATTACCACATAAAGATATATGGAAAATGAGCATCTCTTATACATAAATGGAAATTCAGAGCCTTGTTTAAACGAAGGGCTTGTCATCACCGTCACTAGGAAAGCAAACAGAAAAAAACCCGTCAATTCAAAAATACAGCATGCTGTCAGGCAAGAATGTGGACGAAAACTTTCTCGATGTGTAGTCCAATATAGGCAGCTCACCATATGGGCCTATTGGTCACCTAAGTCGCTCAATTTAAACATCATTGCAGCAATCAGATATTATTAATTTTTCGTGTAGATGATCTACTGACCAGCAATCTAGCAGCCTGAAGGCACGCACTCATGAAAAACAACAAATCATTAGAAAACCCTTTCTGATTCAAGCCTCAACTGTTCAGCTTAGAGTATTTTTACTCACATGTTAGTGCATCAAGCTATATGTCATAATAATAAAAATTCAACCCAGTTTATCCACGTAATATTTATTCAATATCTGTCCTTAGCTGGCTGGGAAGAAGGAAACTATTTAAGTTGTAAACCTGATCTGCTTATTCATGACGTAGAAGTTGCAATCTATAACTATTTATGTATATATAGTAAATATCATTATAGAGTTATTTTGTATAAGTAACAATTGCCATTTGCAAAGCGTCCTAACCTGGAGGACAGACATATGACTTGATCTTCTGAACTATGTCAGTATCAATTTTCTTTTCATTAACCATTTCCAGTTCCACGTCATCCCAGGATGCCTAGAATCAAACTTATTCAAACAAACTTTCAACACAGAAAACAAATTAAAAATAATAATCTTACTTTGTCCAGCTTGTCGATGGACGAACAGACGGTTCTGAACTTGTCAGTCGGGACTTTACAAACAGCCAGGATTCCGTCCAAAATTTTTTTGTGATTGAGCTATAATTAGGGCCAAGGATAAAACCTTATTAAAAATCCCTTCATATGAAAATTGAAAACTTTGACTGAAAATTATCTGAATATTCTGCAAGGAATACTGGTGTAAAAATGAGTTCATTCCATCGTAGGACATAAGAATTCGAATTCATGCCATGGCGTCACTGTTTCCAATTCATTGTTAAGTCTGACTCAGCAGGATGCGTAAAGAAGTTTCTACAGTGCAATCAGTCAAGCAAAAAACAGAAAAAGTGTTGACGAATTACAATCTGGCTTTGGTAGTCAGAGATCCAATGAATCCAGTAATCGAAAAATTAAAGTAAGTCTGGTCTGGAAGATAGTCAAAATTAAAAACTATGCAACGTTCACAAGAAGAAAAGGTTGTATATACTTTTATTATGAAATCTCCTATTTTCAGCTCCTCCAAGATTTCGACGACGATCTTCAGACATTCTGCTTCCGGAATCATTGGATCATAAACACCAGCAATATCGAAATCCTAAATAAGCACATAATCAAACCGAGGTCAATATTTCGAATTAATTAAAGAAACAATGACTAAATTCAATATGGAATGGATAAATTCAACAAAATGGATAAAGTTCAACATCATACTAAATGACATTCTAGGAACGGTAATCACAGTACTCTCCTAAGTATCAACCATCGTATTCATTGTTTTCTATCAGATCAGACCCGTCCCCGTCAAACCTCATAACGAAATGGGATCACATGTAAAAGTGAACAGTGGAAAGTTTTCTTTAAGAATGGGGGAAGAGCACTGAAATGGCTCACCAATAATGCTGTAAAAAATCTGAGGCTGACAGAGCTTCTTAAACATCCAATACAGATTTGTGTACAAGGGGATATCTTTACAAACCCCTACAAAAGGAATGTGGAGACGAACAAGTCCGCCATCAACGAAGCGCGGCTGCCATAATTTACTGAGTATGCGAAAAGAATAAAACTAAGGCAAGAACAACGAAATGTTCATAAAACTGTCGACACTACTAAGAGGATATGATGACTCACCAGTGCAAAGAATACGACTGATCTTTCATATAAGTGTCATCTGCTCGAAAAAAGTAATCTGCCAAACTTATTTGACCAGCACATAAACAATTAACTAAATTAATTAAACTAACATTAACAATTAACAACTATTTCATCAACTTAGTCTCTAAAGGTTTCAGTTAACTATATTCTGAAGATCATTATTGAACTATTTTGCACAAGTAGTTTTCAAAAAGTTATAAGTATTACTACTATTAATTTCTGTAATAAAATGCATACGCACCTCAATCCTATAAGAAATATGAAAACAATGTTACTGTAAATACTACTGTTGTGCGTAAAAACGGACATCATTTCAGGTTCTGAAATTACTATAAGCTTAAATAAACCTTTCCATGCATTGAAACGTTCTTGTCATATATCAATATCTATAGTAATCGTTAATGTCGTTTTCTAACAAATTTAGAAATAAAGCCTGGTGAAAATAAATCAAGGTATTTTAAAGGTTTTTCTTCCAATATGTCTATAAACCCAACTTCGTCTACGATTTTAAATATCTGCACTGATCGCTACAATACAATGTCCGAGATAAGGGGCAGAGATAAAATTCGAATGAAACGCTGCTACTGTCAGGGGAATTTCAAGATACAACACCCCTTTCCCGTGGCAGCACTTTCCCCAGGTAGGGATCACAATGGTTTGGTAAAGTGGTCGAGATGCTATACAAAGGAAGCTGCAAGACAGTCTCTTTTAACAAAACAATGTTAAATACGGCCAAGAAGCAGACCTACATCGAGAACCACTGACTCGAGTATGTTGAGTATCCAGCATTCCATGGAATGCAGTCCGTGGAATTCGCGCTTTGGGCAAAATAGCAAGAGTTTAATCAAGACATTTCTAAGCTGCTGTCCAAAGAGTGCTGTATGCGTTACATGTAGCCAATAAAGGACTGAAATAAAATCAGTGCTAAAGCATTAGAAAACTGGAATGAATGGAGGGATAGACGACTGATGGATGGATCGACGCACAGTAAAAACTGAAATGGAAAAAAAATAAAACAAGGCGCAACAAACACATTGATAAAATTCTCGGTAGCGGCCTCTGATCATCGAAGGATTGTCTCGACGATACACTTTGGCGATTTGATACCGTTTTATGTTGGTGATTTTATTCATAGCAAGATACCTTGCAAATGGCACCTAAAAAACTTTGAAATATGCGAACATTCGTAAAAAAACTGGCAATATAAAATTACCGTCAAATCATAGCGCAGTGATAGCATTTCCCCTCCTTGATCTTCAAGGTCATAAATAAGCTTATTTCCTTCTTCTCCGTATTTTCCGGTCAACGTATCCTGCGTTATTTGAGAATGAATGCAGTGTGTAAAATTTCAACAATAAGCTACTTACTTTGAGTTCAAAGACGGGTGTATCGATTGTTTCAGCACCGTGACGTTTAAAACAGTTTACCACCATACTGATTGCCTAATGGGAAAAACGGTTTAAAGAGGTGAACGGATCAAACAGAAGAGACAAATTAAGTTGTTGCTAACCTAATCTGTAAATATGATAAGTACCCAACTCCTTTAAATCCAGATTCCGGGCGTACTATACCAGCCAATT